GGGAAAGAGCGGGCGAGAAGAAGGTGGTAAGAAACAAGCTAAGTGGCAGAAATGACAAAGATAAGTGCTGTGACCAGTCCTATCCAAGATGATTCTATGATGAATGTACATATATATATATATGTATATATACACACATACGTATATGGTTTTTCTCGACGTTCATGTTGCAAATGTACACAGACACCTAGAGAATCGGTGGCGATTAATGGCTACATCACCTTTTGATAACATGACTTTGCATTGAAAAACTTCCTCCAAAAGTGAACTGGAAAGAGAGGGTCCTCAGCCCAGTTTCTAACCCTTAGCCCCATTCCGAGTTTCTCATCGTGAAACTGTGAAAGGGCTGGATGAGATAACGAACACTAGGGGTGAGAGAAAGGATGGTGGTGTCTGAGGCTGGGCTTGGGGGACGTAGCCCTGTCCACAATCCCAGTGGTAGGTGTGTTCTTCCTTCACTGCCAGGCATGCATTTTCCACTCCTCTTCCCCACAGCACACACTTTGCATATTGGTTTTAAGTAAAGGGCACGTATGATGTAAATTTCTTACCGGAGTTAGATTTAAATAAAAGCCTTAGAAATGTGTGGTCGCTTTGAGACACTGGCCTATCTAAGCTTGTGACTCTATCCGAATGGCGTGAGCTGCGTGTAAAAGTACCCAATTACCAAGATTCAAAAAGAAATTGGTGGGTTTTTGGCTGGCTTGCTTCTTGTCAGTTAGCAAGGACGTGATCAGAATCCTACTCCGCCTCTCGCCGGCTCCGCGCTCGCCGCTTGCATTACTTGCAGATTCAGTTAGCGTGTCTCCAGCCAAGCGGAAAGCCGAGCGCAAAATGCATCTTACAAAACGCAACAAAGAGCAGGGAGCCAGCACGTCTTCCAGAGTTAAAAATCTAGTCTGTGTTGGTACATCTATACCATTTAGTGGCACAGAATAATCATTTTTTAAAGCCGCGATGCGCGGAGCACGCCACAGCGTCTGATGTCATTTTGCTAAATGACCCTCTATAGAATGCACATTGAGGCTTCAGTCCCTTTCAAAGAGATGAGCGTAATTAAGGCGAAAAAAAAAATCAGTAAATTCCGCATCGCCATAAATAATCGGACTTTCTGCCAGCAGTGGGCCAATTTAGAGCTTACTTGAGGGAAGTAATGCTTTTGTGATGCCTGCTTTATTTTTTATCTTCTCATTTGGAGGACCAGAGCTGGGTCCCCCGCCCCCGCCCCCTGCCATGCATTTCTCATTTTTTTAATTTAGCTCCTTTGCAAGTTTCCAGATAAGGTAACGCAAAGAAAGTGTAGCAAGCCACTTATGGCTATGAATATAGCATTAGGATAATGTTTCAGTCCCCACAAAGGGGATGTTTCCCTCCTTCGTCTTGTGAAGACAGGTGTTCTTTTGCTCACTTCTGAATGGGAGATATCCAGTCTCGTTAAACTCGGGGCAAAGTTAGCCGTTGTTTGCCACAATGCGGAGGCAAACTCTAAAAATTCACAAACACACACACAATTTTGCCGAAGCTAGGAAAGGGCAAAGCGGGGATTGGGCAAAATCTCATTACATCTGCTCTAATCGCTTAGCAACACAAAGCCGGGGCTTGTGCGGCGAAGGGAAGCCATTCAGGGCGCTCTGACAGGCCGCATTCAGCCAGCATTAGTCAGCTCCATAAATCACCGCAGCCCATTGGCTGCGCGGCGGGCTTTGGAGCGGCCCTGGGCTGTCAGCGAAATACAAAACGTAGACCCCAGCGGCTAGCAGTCGCGGCCTCTCCCCCGTCTTAGCCCCAACTCCCGCTTTCTTTTCTGGGGGGAGGAGGGTGCTGGGGAAGAAAACTGCCTTGACGTTATTGACTGAGAAATCTTACCTATTCAAAAAAATGGCCTGGAGACCACCGAGTTCAGACTGGGGCCGCCTGAAACTGACCAGGAGGAGCGGGGAGTGAGAGCCAGAAAGCAAAAAATAGACCCGCCGCTGGCTGCAAAACTGTTGAATGCGAGTATTATCAGAGGCTGTGCTGGAGCTACCGGGACACACGTCTCACCTCCCTGCCTCTGCCTTTCACGTTGTTAACTTGGGAGTAGGGGGGTGTGCATGGAGAAATATCTACGTCAAGTTCATATCAGACGGGCCCACCGAAGAAAGAAGACACCGGCCCGCCCTCTGACTAGAGCGTCAAAGGGCTATAGGGCTGAGACTAGTAAGAAAGAGGGAGTAGAGCAATGCATTTACACTTCGCTGTTCCTGCAGGGCTTGGGATGTTAGAGCAGGGAATCGACATCCCCTTCCTTCTAAGCTTCAGTATTCTTGTTTATAACATGGGGCTGATGGTACCCACAGCAGCAACAGGAGGCTATGTAAAGGACTTAGCACAGGGCCTTGTAGGGGAGATTACAAGCTATTTTTAAATATGAGCACTTGGTGGTTATTCTAGTCTCTCATTTTCATGGGGACTGGTCAGTTGATGCATCTAAATCAGCCTAGATTTGAGGCTTACCCACAAACCACATAAAAAGAAGTCTGGGAGTAGATGTGGAGTCAAGGTAGGCTTCCGGGGGAAGTCCAGGTCACCTTACCTCAAACATCACCTCCTCTGAGAAGCCTTCCTTGATCATCCTATTTAAAGCAGCTTCCCCCCCCCCCCCCCCCCCCCCC